TCTCTGCTGTCTTAGGTAGCTTGAGCATCTGGGTGCTTCTTTTCCTGACCTAGTTGCCTTTGCCTGGGAGTTAGTCCCTCCTGGCATATTCTGGGTCTGGCTGCTTTCAGGCCTCTATCTCACTGCCTGTGCTGAATAAGATTAAAATAGGGCCTAAAATTAGTCCTTTGATGGCCCCTGCATTGCAGCCACCTCTTTTGGTCTTGTCTGGAAGATGGCCAAATTGACTCAGCACAAAAACTCACCTCTAGAAAGAAGCAGGGACTGTTGCAAAGACTGCGGGTGAGTGCTGGGGAGTGTTTGCTAGTTACAGTCTGCCCCAAGAGCAGGCAGAGCAAAGGAAGCTCAGTGTTTGCTAGTTACAGCCTCCTAAGAGCAGGCAGAGCAAAGGAATCAGTGTTTGCTAGGTACAGCCTGCCCCAAGAGCAGGCAGAGCAAAGGAAGCTCAGTGTTTGCTAGGTACAGCCTGCCCCAAGAGCAGGCAGAGCAAAGGAAGCTCAGTGTTTGCTAGGTACAGCCTGCCCCAAGAGCAGGCAGAGCAAAGGAATCTCTTGGTCTTAGTGGAGTCATCCATATCTATAGTGTATAGATGGGAAGAACCTCTCAGCTACAATAGTCTTTGCAGTTTCTGAGCTGGGGCACACCCCAAGCTGCAGCCCCAGCCAGCACTTTCCCTGCACCAGGAAGCCCCATTCATGTTCCTTGCCTTTTCTTTATTGTAGTGCCAGGGATCGAATAACACAGGGCATCGTGCTTATTAGGCAAGTACCACTGAGCGGCACCCCTCAGCTCATCTGCCTTAGTTAGGGTTCCTGTTGCTGTGGTGACTCACCATGACCAAAAGCAAGTTGGGGAGAAAAGGGTTTATTTTTATTTAACTTAGAATTTCACATCAGTGCACATCATTGAAGGTAGCCAGTACAGGAACTCAAACAGGGCTGGAACTTGAAGGCAAGAGTTGAAGTAAGGCCGTGGAGGGGTGCTGCTTACTAGCTTGTTCCTCATGGCTTACTCAAGCTGCTGTCCCTCCTTCCTCCCTTTTTTTTTTTTTTTTTTTTTTTTTTTTTTTTTTTGTCTTTCGAGATAGGGTTTCTCTGTGTAATAGTCCTAGATGTCCTGGAACTAAGCTCTGTAGACTAGGCTGGCCTTGAACTCACAAAGATCTGCCTGCTTTCTGCCTCCCAAGTGCTGGAATTAAGGAAATGCACCACTGCCCGGCCCCTTCCTCCATTTTTATAACAGAGAAAACTGGCTCAGGATGGAATAACTGTCCATGTTCCTATGTCTGTGGAGCTCTGCCCCAGGTTTAAACTCAGATCTGTTCACATCTAAAAAGTCTTACTCAGTAGCTGTAGGCTACAGCTGGGCTGTGAGACATTTCAACAATACTGTTCATGTCTGTATACTCAGAGGAGCCTGGTGGTCAGGAATTATATTTTAGTGTCATGATGGCCCACTGGGTGCCTTTCACCTCTGAGCATGCTTGATCCTGGACAGGCTGTCCAGTTCATCTTTGGTGTTGGGATGAATCCCCATTTCCAAACGGAGATAGCTGTTCGGTGGTTGTGAGGATTAGGAACCCACTTTTAGGGACTGCCAAAATAGCTCAATGAGGTAAAAGTGTCTGCTCTACAACACTAGTCACCTAAGTTAAATCCCAGAGGAAACTGACTACACAAAAAATATCCTGTGACCTCCTCATGTATGTATGTCCAGTGGCCAATGCATGATGATTAGATGGCTCAGTGCTAAAGGCACTTGCTATACAAGTCTATTGTCCTAAATTTGATCCCTAGGACCTACATTGTAGAAGCTGTGGACTGACTCCCACCAGTTATCCCTAGACCTCCACACCAGCCCTGTAACACACATGTTTATACATGTACACATACATGCAAAAACAAAACAAAAAAACATAATATTTGTTGCTTTGTGTTTGTGTGAGACAGGGTCTCACCTTGTAGTCCTAGGTTGCTTGGAACTCGATATGTAAACCAGACTGGCTTTGAACTCACAGAGATCCTCCTGCCTCTGCCTCCCCTGGGATTAAAGGTGTGCCGCCATGCTGCCCCGACAAATCTACTTTTAGTATTATACCCAGCGTCTAGACTGTAAGGGGAGAGGCCTTGGAAAGAGGTCTGTAGGTGAGGAAAGATTGCTGGGTGCCCTGTACCTCTTTTCATTATTTTCTAATTTGTGAGCATGAGCAGTCCCATATAAGTTTATGAATCAGTAAAAATGTTTAGCAATAAAACTTTAATTACTATTGTTGAATGTGTGTGTATGTGTGTGCGTGCACTCGAAGGTGTGTGAGAAAACAACCTTTAAGAGCTTGTTCTTTCCCTCCAACTTGTGGGTCCTGAGAATAGATCTCAGGCTTATCAGACTTAGCTGTGACTGCCTTGACCCACTAAGCCATCATCACTGACCCAGGCATGAAAATTTTGATAGGGACTGTAATGAATCTGTAAATTACCCCTGGTAGTATTGTGCTTTAAACAATATTAAGAGCAGGGTGTGTGGTGCACACCGAAACCCCAGCACCTGGGAAATGGGGGTGGAAGCTGGACTAAAAGGCCATCATTGTCTTCGTAGTGTTTGAGGCCAAACTGCTATGTGAGACCCTGTTGTGTATTTGTGATACACAAGTACAGGGTGTAGGCTGGGCTGGTCTCACACTTGCATTGATCTACTTGCCTTTGCAAATGGCTCTTTTAATGCTATTATAATTTTTTTTTTTTTGATTCTCTGTTCAGCCAGATGTGGCAGCACACCCCTTTAATCAGTGCTTAGGGAGTGCTTAGGGATAGAGTGGATCTTTTTGAGTTCAAGGGTCAACCTGGTTTCCATAGCAAGTACCAGTCCAGCTGGGGTTACAGGTGAGACCCTATCTAAAAATAAACAAAAAGCCTGTTCAGATTGTGTGTTGCTGGTGGGTCCAGTGTGTCTAGATTGTGTGTTGCTGGTGTGTCCAGTGTGATCAATTGTGTGTTGCTGGTGTGTCCAGTGTGATCAGATTGTGTGTTTGCTGGTGTGTTTAGTGTGTTGTGTTCATTACTAGTAGTGAGTAGACACAAAATCAACTCAGTTGTTCTTTTTCATTTTTTTTCAGACAGGGTCTCAACTGTCTCCAGCTTCTTAAAAATTATTTTTGCTTTATTTTATGTGTGTGAGTGTTCTATCTGCATGTATGTTCTATCTGCACATGTGTGCCTAGTGCCTGTGGCCAGAAGAGGGCATCAGATGCCCTGAGACTGGAGCTATATATACATACAACTATAAGCCACCATGTGGGATCTGGGAATGGAACCTGAGTTTCTCTGCAAGAGCAAAAGTACTCTTAGCCACGCAGTCATCTCTCCAGCCTGTCCAACTTCTTGGGTAGTGCTAGGACGACCTTGAACTTCTAACCCTCCCACCTCCACCTCTTGAGTGTTGGGATTACAAGTGTGCACCACAAACCCAGGTTACATATGTGTACCTTGAAGCTTTGGTGAACATAAATTTTATTAACTAGTAATTTTTTAGAATTCTAGAATTCTAGAGTTGAATCCTGGTTCTAACATCAGTGTTATTGCAATATTCTGAAAATCTCTCTCACATCCCGAGAATGTTTGCAGCACCTCACAGTTAATAGCACACCTTGCAGTCACCTAAGACTGTTCTAGTGGGGCTGGAGAGATGGCTCAGAGGTTAAGAGCACTGGCTGCTCTTCCAGAAGTTCTGAGCTTAATTCCCAGCATCCACATGATGGCTCACAACCGTCTGTAATGAGATTTGGTGCCCTCTTCTGGCCCACAGGTGAACTTGCAGACAGAATATTGTATACATAATAAATAAACCTTTGGGTCGGGCAGTGGTGGTGTATGTGTTTAAAACCATCACTCAGAGTCAGGCTGATCTCTGTGGGTTCAAAGCCAGCCTAGTCTACAAGAGCTAGTTCCAGGACAGCTTCCAAAGCCACAGAGAAGAAAAATGGGATCAGTGCTCTCTTCACTGGTAGCACAAGCCCCGGATTTGACCCTTGGGACTACATAAGCCAGGGTGGTGATACACACGTGGAGCCCAGCACTTGGGAGGTTAAGAAAGAAAGATCAGGAGTTCTATGTCATTCATTCTCTATGTAGTGAATTAGAAGTTAGTCTGGACTACTCAACAGCCCATCTCAGAAGAATGGTACACACACAGACCACAGATCATTTAGGTACTATGGATATTTCTTAACATGGTACTTGCCATCATTATAAGAAATTTGGAGATATTCAGACGCTTGTAACCTTTTAAGGCAAGGCACATGGGGGAGAGCCAGGCAAGGTGGCCCATGCCTGTAATAATAGTACTCAGGGCAAGCAGAATAAGGGGTCATGCCAGTACCACCAAGGATTTAACAGTGAGGGTGCCATGGAAACCTGTAGGAGGACCACCGCTTTCAAAATTACTTCTGGAGCCAGGGATAGTGGAACATGCATGCAACCCCAGCTATTTGGGAGGGAGAGACAGGTTCAAGATAAACCTAGGCATTTAAGCAAGACAACATCTCAAAATAAAAATACAAAAGGGGTGGGAGTGGAGTACTGAAAATAAAATCCATGCCCAGAGAAGCAGATTGGCTATAAAGTAGGTAATTATTGTAGTCTTCACCATGTGTGACCTTATACGCCGGTGCTTTTCGTCTAACATGCAGAGTCATTGGGCCGTTCAACATCCTCCTGGGGCTCACTGTTCCCAGGCATCAATGTTCATTAGGGTGCACTGGGGTTTGGCAAAGTGTGTACTATGCCTCCCCCTCAGATTGTGATGTCAATCAACAGTGTGGAGTCTGGAGTCTGATGAAAGTGCTCCAGGTCACTGGCACAGATCTGCTGTGACATCTAGACCTCCTGCCCCTGCCCCTAGCCTTCCCAGGGGAAGGGAACAAACAAGAACTGCCCCAATTTTATTTTAGAAGCACTTGGTTTTATTGCATGGAAGCAATTGAAAGTGGACTCCAGTGGAAAGTGCGCTCTGGCATGGTTCAGTGGCCCTGGCCCTGATTCGCCTGCTGCAGCTCCTCCCGGATAGAGTGCTGGGTAAGGGCCTGACCACTCCTTTGGAAAACAAGAAGGCATTCAGGAATAGGTTACAACATCTCAAGCATAATGCATTTCTAACTGCTCATTCATTATTGCGATCATCTGTCAGTTGTACATACAGGAAATAAATGCACTTATTTGGAAAGGACGGGACAGTTTTTAGTCAAGTGGTTTTCATGTAGCATTCAGCATATGTCACATTCGGCTACAATAAGCTATCATAATTGTCCATCACCTGGGGTGGGTTTGGGGCATCGGGGGCCAGGGCTGAGGGTATCTTCTCTTGCTAGCTTAATCCTAACAGAAATTCCTGTTTGGTGAGGGCAGGCCCATCATCTAAACAGTGTTTCTTCTTACAGAAAGGAAAGGAAGGAATAAAATTTATTACACTGACTCTTTAGTACTGGGACCCTCCGAGTTTCTTTGGCTGTTCCTGGATGAACATGTCGTGGCCTTACTTCTCCCCCTTGGTGGCCTTGTCCTCTGTGGCCTTCTCTGCAGGCTGGCTGTCTTTTTGGTCTGTGCTAGAGGATTTTTCAGCCTTTTCTGTCTTGGGTTTGCTGGGCTCTTTGGGAAGGCCCTTGTCGTCCTCCTTGGCCTTGGCCTCCGTCTTGGGCTTCTCCTCGGGCTTCTTGGACTCTGTGGCCTTCTCCTCCTTGCCGTCTCTCTTCTCTGGTGCTGCCAGCATCTCTTCCTTCTGTGGCCTTTCCTGCTCTGCAGGTTTGCTGGGTTCTTTGGCCTTGGTGTCATCCACTTCTGTCTTGGTCTCTGTCTTCTCTTTGGATTTAGCCTCTTCCTTTACCTCCACCTTGGCAGGAGTCTCCTTCTCTGGGGTCACTGCTTTCTTCTCTTCAGACTTTTCCTTCTTGGCTTCCACTGTGGAGTCCTTGGGCTTTTCTCCTGGGATTTCCTTCTTCTCTTCCACCTTGGGCTTTGCAGCTTCCTTCTGGGGTGGTTCATCTTTCTTGATCACCTCCTCTTCTGTCTTTGGTGTAGCGGTGGTCTTCTCCTCCTCTACTTTCTTTGGGGGTTCTTTGGCTTTCACCTCCTCCTTCACAGGGGACTTCATCTCTTCCTTCTTGGAAACTTCCTTCTCAGAAGCCTTGGCATCTTCCTTCTCAGGGGACTTGGCCTTCTCAGGGGACTTGACCCTCTCTGGGGACTTGACCTCCTCCTTGGCAGGACTTTTGGCCTGCTCGGGAGATTTGATGTCTGCGGAGTACTTTGCTTCTTCCTTCCCTAGAGTCTTGGCTTCTGGGGATTTTACATCTAGAGTCTTGACCTTCTCAGGAGACTCTGATTCCTCCTTCACTGGACTCTTAGCCTTGTCAGGGGATTTCACCTCAGCTGGAGGCTTGACCTCTTCCTTCACAGGGGACTTGGCCTTCTCAGGAGATTTGACTGCTGCTGGTGATTTAACTTCTTCCTTCTCTGGAAACTTGGCTTGGGCTGGAGATGTTGCTTCTTCCTTAACTGGAGACTTGGCCTTCTCTGGAGATTTTACTTCTGCTGGGGACTTCACTTCTTCCTTCACAGGCGACTTGGACTCCTCAACTGGGAATTTTGCTCCTTCCTTTAGAGGGGTCTTGACTTTCTCTGGAGATTTTACCTCAGCTGGTGACTTGGCTGCAGTTGGGGACTTGGCCTCAGCTGGAGATTTTACCTGAGCTGGTGACTTGACTTCAACAGGTGACTTGGCCTCAGCTGGTGACTTGACCTCAGCAGGAGACTTGGCCTCAGCTGGAGATTTTACCTGAGCTGGTGACTTGGCCTCAGCTGGTGACTTGGCCTCAGCAGGAGACTTGGCCTCAGCAGGAGACTTGACCTCAGCAGGAGACTTGGCCTCAGCAGGAGACTTGACCTCAGCAGGTGACTTGGCCTCAGCTGGTGACTTGGCCTCAGCAGGAGACTTGGCCTCAGCTGGTGACTTGGCCTCAGCAGGAGACTTGGCCTCAGCTGGAGATTTTACCTGAGCTGGTGACTTGGCCTCAGCTGGAGATTTTACCTCAGCTGGGGACTTAGCTTCTTCCTTCACAGGAGATTTGGTTTCCTTTTCTGGAGATTGGGCCACTTCTGCAGGGGGAGATGTTACATCTTCCCCTCCCTCTTCTGTTTCATCTCCTCCTTCCTCCTCTTTGGCCTCTTTCTCCTCCTCTTCTGTCACTTCTTCAGTCACCTGGATCTCTTCTGTCTGCTCCTCCACAATCACAGTTTCTTTCTCTGATTTTTCTACCACTTTTATCTTCTCTTCGCTTTTGACTTTTATGTGAGTGGATGTGGAGGGAATCTTCGGGAGTCCCTCAGTAAGAGAGAAGGGACTTGGACCAAAGCCAATCCGACACTCTTCGCCTTCCAGGAGCTTTCTGCAGAATGGATAATGAAACACACCATTAACGCAGAGCACACTGCAGGTTTGGAATTTTCCTTGGTTTTCCAGAAGCTCCCCTGCATTCAATGACAGGGTTTGGTGAATGAAGGATATGAATGAAATTTCACTTTCGTTTCCTTTTTTCTTCTTTCCTTTCTCTCTCATTCCTTATTTCTCTCTCTTTACTTATTTTTTTCTGGTGCTCAGGATTGGGTCATGCCAAGCACACACTCCCCACTGGTCACAGCCTCAGCAGGAAGCACTTTGAGAATAGGGAACATTACTTAACAAAGCGTTCTGGTGACCACATGCAGAGCCTGATCCCCAGGGGGCTGCACTGCTATTTATGAAAGGAAACGTCTCCCTAAAGAATGGCCCTCAATAGAAAAACTCCTACAAAACTTACACTTATTGCCCCTCAACTAAAACCCCATTCAAGAGAAAGCTGGAGGTCTGGGAGTGTGGCTCAGTGGTTTATTGCTGGTCCAGTGTATATGAGGTCCTGAGTCTGGAAAAAGAGAGACATAACTACTATGACTACTGAAAGTTATACCCTGCGCGCGCACACACACGCACACACACACACACACACACACATGAAAAATAAATCCCTCCCATGGCTGAGAGAAAAAAGCTGAGGACAAGCAAGCCGATACTTATAAATGTAGTTTGAGAGCTTTGGGATATTGCCATTTGGAGCTGTCCAATCACCTTTGCAGCCATTCTTTGGGATTTCTTCTCTCACTTAGCTACTCACTAGCTGTGAGCTTCTCTGAGCTACCCAGACTCTGAAGGCCTCCCTTTACCTCACTGGTAGAGAGATGACCACCAGAGTCCTTACCTCAGAGGGCTGCTTCTGTGAAATGGTGAATGTTAAGAGCTTGATAGAGGGTCTGCCTGAAGAAATATAGGAGGTCCCCCCCCAACAGTGTTTTCCAAATATAACAACTGAAACATTGCCCTGGCTCTAATTAAACTACAGGTCTCAATCCAGCAGCCTGGGCCTGTCTTTCTAACTCAAGGATCACTCTGATTCCTGGCTAGTGCACTGTGCTGAGTATCAAGATTAGACCAGAGCCAGGAAGAAGACACAGTCAAGGGGGGGGGGGCTCATCTTTGGGGACTGGTCTTCTCATGGCTCCCATTCAGTGAGACTGTGTGACTGCCCAGAAGAACCTGTGTCAGCTGGATTTCCCTATGAACAAGACTGGCTCAGCCTCCCAACAGCCCATGGCATGCATGCTGTTTTTATCATCTCCATTTATTTTTGCAAGGAATGAAAGCCTAGTAAGCTAAGAATGGGTTTATGATGGTCCCTGACTGTATGTCCCAGTCAGAAAGAACACAAGTCACTTGAGCCAATGAGATAGCTCAGCAGGTAAGTATAAGTATACCTACCATTGAGACCAAGGACTTGGTATTTTTTATACCTAGGACCCACATGGTGGAAGCAAAACACCAACTCCCCAAACTTCTGACATGTATATACATGTGCATGCAAACACACACACACCCTCTAATTTCCATTTGTGTGCATTCAGACACACACACATACACACATAAGTAAATAAAATGCAATTAAAAGAAAATAAGTCAGAGATGCCCCTTAACTGAAGAATGGATAAAAAAGATGTGGCACATTTACACAATGGATACTACACAGTGGGGGAGGGGAACCAATGGAATCTTGAAATTCACAGGCAAATGGATGCAACTTGAAACCATCCAGAGTGAGGTAACCCAGTCACAAAAAGAGGAACATGGTATGCACTCACTCATATATGGATTTTAGACCTAGAGCAAAGGATCACCAGCCTACAATTCACACCGCCAAAGAAACTAGGATACAAGGAGGAACCTAGGAGATTCATACAAGGTCCCTCACAGAAGGGGGAAGGGACAAAATCGCCTGAGCATATTGGGAGTGGGGGGGGGGCAGTGAGTGGAGAGGGAGCTAGGAGAAAGAGAAGGGGAGGAGAGGAGAACATGTGGGACTAGGAAGATTGAGTCAGGGGACGAATAGACAAGAGCAAAAATAAAATAAAATAAAATAAAAAGAGATACTATAATACAGTTAGCCATCAAAGGTTTGAAGAGAAAACTGAGTATACAGAAATGTTTAGAGACCTACAAGGATGACCCCAACTAACAATCTGAGCAACAGTGGAAAGGCTACCTTAAATGCCCTTCCCTGATAATGAGATTGACGACTAACTTATATGCCATCCTAGAGCCCTCATCTAGTAGCTGATGGAAACAGAAGCAGACACCCACAGCTAAACACTGAGCTGAACTCCTGGAACCCAGATGCAGAGAGGGAGGAGTACTAAGCAAAGGGGTCAGACCAAGATACAGAAACCCACAGAAACAGCTGACCTGAACAAGGGGGAGTTCATGGACCCCCAGACTAATAGCTGTGAAACCAGCATTGGACTGACTCAGACCCCCTGAATGTGCGTCTCAGAAGGCCTGGGCAGTCTAAGGGACCTCAGACAGTGGAACCAGGATGATCCCTGGTGCATGAAATGACTTGGGGAGCACATTCCCCATGAAGGGATACTCCCTGAGCTTAGAGGAAGAAGGGAGGGCCTAGTCCCTACTCCAAATGACTTGACAGATTTTAATGATCCCTCCTGAAGGCATCACCCTCTCTGTGGAGTGGGGGGGGGAGTGAGATGGGGAGGCACCCGGGGGCATAGGAGGGAGGGAGAGGGAACTGGGATCCATATGTAAAATAAGAAAAAAAAATGAATATATAAAAAAATAAGTTAGCCTCAAGAGTTCTGTCTCTTGGGAAGTAGAATATTGTCAGGGCTGAGGGCAGGGGCCAATGAGGAATCTGGGATGATAAAAATAGCTCTGGAAATGGATGGGGATGAGTGCTGCATATGCAAATGTACTTAATACCACTGAATTGTTTATTTAAAATGGTGAAATGGCAAATTTTAAGATATATATTTTAAAATTCTCTAATTTTATTGTATGTGTGCATGGGTGTGGTTACATGTGTGCATGCAAGACAACTTTCTGGTATCCGTTATCTTTCTGCAGTAGATTCTGGTGATCAAACTTAGGCTCTCAGATAGCCCTTTACCCACTGAACCATCTTGCCTTATTATACAGAATTAAATATATTTTTCTATAATGAGGACTGGAGGGATAGCTGAGCCCTTAAAGGTTCAGGTTCACAACTGAAATACTTTTGGCTGGTAAGATGGCCATGTGGGTAGTGATGCCTGCTGCACAAGCCTGAATGCCTGAATCCAATCCCCAGAACCCATGTAAAGGGGAAGGAGAGTACACACACACACACACACATACACATACACACACACACACACACACACACACACAGAGAGAGAGAGAGAGAGAGAGAGAGAGAGAGAGAGAGAGAGAGAAGGGGGTATTTTTGTCTTAGGTAGGCTGAGGTGGTGCACACCTTGAGTCCCAGCACTTGGGAGGCAATGGTAGGTGGGTCTCCATGAGCTATAAAGCAGCCTGGTCTATATAGTGAGTTCAAGGCTAGATAGGGCTACATAGTAAAATCTGTTCCAAAAACAAAAGAAGACAAAGACAAAAAAAAAAAAAAAAAAAAAAAAAAAAAACTTTTGTCTTTAAAAAGTAGCAGGCTACCTAAACACAACTTGAAACTGGAGACTTATTGCTTCATTGGAACACAGGGCTCTATGCAGCCTCGAGGATCTGAGAACATAGGACTCCATGCAGCCTCAAGGATCTGAGAACATAGGGCTCCATGCAGCCTCAAGGATCTGAGAACATAGGGCTCCATGCAGCCTCAAGGATCTGAGAACATAGGGCTCCATGCAGCCTCAAGGATCTGAGAACATAGGGCTCCATGCAGCCTCAAGGATCTGAGAACACGGGCTCCATGCAGCCTCAAGGATCTGAAAACATGAAGCTCTATACTGCCTCGAGGCTCTGAGAGCATGCAGCTCTGTACCGCTCAAGACTACTGGGCTGCCTCACCTGTAAGCAGCAATCTCAATATCCAGGGCCATCTTGACATTGAGCAGGTCCTGGTACTCTCGGAGCTGTGCTGCCATCTCCCACTTGGTGTTTCTCAGCTCATTGTCCAGCTGCTGAATAGCATCCTGTGGATGGCAGATCAGTCAAGTCATCTGTCAGCTGGTACCTGGCCCTCAGTTCCAGATAAGCTGGGGCCACCCTGCTCAGCCACCTGGCTGGGGACAAAGCTCCACCCTGACAAAACTGCAAGATACTCATGTACAGACATGGAAAACTCTGGATTGAAAATCTTAGCCTGAGGAAAGATCTGGAACGATATATAACTGATACTGGCTCACTCAGTATAATGATGGGTGAATATTTACAGATGCCTTAGAAAGTGCTCCATGAAAGGGTTGAGGTGTAGCCCAGTGGTAGAACACTTGAGTAACATCATACACAGGGCCCTGGGGAGAGAGCAGTTTTAGCTACTTTGTTTTCTATTCTTTCCGAAAGTGCCTGTAAATGTCAGTTCTTGGCAAGTGTCTGCTCTTTGATTACCTGGCAAGCCAGAGGGTCCCCAGAAGCTATGCATAGAGATGAGACACCTTCCCACTGGGGCACGGCCTAAAGTGAACCTTTACAACTACCTTTTATCTCTTGTGTTACATTTCTTCAGTTCCTAATTTCTCTGTAATCATCACATTACTTGTTTATGTGATTCTAAGAAAGTACACTTTTCTCCCCAATTGTTTTTAACTGAAAAAACCTGCCAAAGTTGCCCCCAGGCCACACCCACAGACACTGGTGACTACAAGAGATTAACTACTCTAACCAAGATTATGCTGAACATTTACATTTAAGTAGTAAATTATTTATAGGTGCTAGGATGGAGCCCAGGGCCTCACACATAGTAGGAAGGAAAGAACTCTACCACTGAGTTATCCCACACACACACCCCGCACTGGTGACCTTCACATCTCTGCAGCGCAGTGGTTTTTGTTCTTGTTTTTCCTTCTTCTCATTTCAGAAAAGACATTTTAATCCAGATAGGCAGATAAGTCTCCAGGTCCACAACAAGGAACAGTGTCTGACTCAGAGTCCAGGTCTTTCTCTAAGAAGGGAAGTGACGGTTCCTCTGCTCACCTGATAGGATGCAATGTCTGCCTGATGACGGTCTTCTAGCTCAGAGCGCTGCCTCTCCAGTGAATCTTTGGTGCTTTTCAGCGCCTCCAGCTCCGTGGTCCTGGCCTGCAGCTGCCTCCGGTACTCGGTTATCTCCTCCTGTGCCGAGCGCATGGCATCTGTATTCACCTTGGCCGCCTCTGACAGTCGGTCCAACCTCACTGAACAGGGGAGGAACCAGGGCACAAGGTTAGGCACATCTGAAATTGGTTCCAATACTCAGATTTGGAAAGTGACACACATTGGTTGAAGATGTACCAACATGTTAATCCATCCCATCCTGTGACAGTCAAGTCACTCTTGTCCAAAGCCACCCAGTTAGTGAGTGGCAGGATTCAAATTTAGTCTATTTGGCTTTGAAAAACAGATTTGTCTCCCTCAACTTGATCCATAAACCACTCAGGAGAAAGGAAGGTCCTGTTCCTGGTGCCAGTGCCTGGCAGAACTCCTTACCAAAGGTCTGGCATACTGGGGAGGAGGGGGTGCAGGTGGGAAATCTAGCATGAGGCCTTATGCTCAGCTGGGGTCTGCAGGCTTGTGGAAGTTAATATGCCTGTGATCTCACCAGGCATGAAAGCTGTGGGAGCGATCAGTTACAATGTAGCCATGGCAACTTCCTTGCAGGTTTCTGCAGAATCCAAGGTCACAGGGGAGCCCATGGCCTGTGCACCAGCCCTTTGTCCCTTCCTCTACCTGACTTCATCCTCAGGCACAGCTCCTGAGCCAATGGAAGCCATACATTGGCTCTGGGTTCTCAGATCTTCCAGTAGAAACCAGAAATTGGTCTTAATCTCCTGAAAGGGAACACCCCACAACCAAGAGTTGATCCTGGTGGAAAGACAGAGGCCAGCGGGTGGGGACATATCCTTGGATGCTCTGCTTGGGTAAAGGACAAACCTAAAAGAAGAGAAGTCCCCACTGGGAGGAGCCTTGCTGCAGAGATGGGGGAGGGACAATTCACTGCCGCTGCAAAGGAGTGGAGCTTAAAAGAGGGAATTCTAAGCATCCAAATCCCAGTATTCCTGGCTTTCCCTGGTGTTAGCAAACTTAAAAACCACCCAAGTGAGGAGTCTCAGCTATTATGGACATCAGACAACCTTTGGAAAACACCTGGACTCTGCGCTCTCCTTCAGAACGATGCACAGGTTTATAGCTGATGTCAGGAAGGATTCTGCATCTGAGACTAGGAAACTCGGTTACTCCATGTCAAAAGAAACATGAACCAGAGAAAGCCAATGTTGGTCAAGGTCACCCTGCAGCTACTGGGCAGTGTGCTTCAGGGCAACTGCAGTCTAGCTGACTCAGAGCCCTCCAAATTGGAGGAGAAAGGGAGATGGGAAGTCCCAGTTTTTGTTTTGTTTTGGGGTTTTTTGTTGTTTGTTTGTTTTTTTTGTTTTTGTTTTTGTTTTGTTTTGTTTTTGTTTTGTTTTTTTGAGACAGGGTTTCTCTGTGGCTTTGGAGGCTGTTCTGGATCTAGCTCTTGTAGACCAGGCTAGTCTCGAACTCATAGAGATCTGCCTGCCTCTGCCTCCCGAATGCTGGGATCAAAGGCATGCGCCACCGCCGCTCTGTGAGGTCCCAGTTTTTGAGAGAAGGATGGGTATATGAAGTAAGGCAGTGTTGCCTTGGCCAATGGCAGTCATGAGGTCCACATGCTGGTTCCATACTGAACGAGTAGTGGGGAGAAGAATGGTAGGTCAGCAGAATACTCCTGCTCCTCCCTCTGCACACGGTGCAAGAAAGGCTGGCCAGAGTTGGCAGGGCAAGTGGGTGCTGAATACCCTGGTCTAGATGGGGCTTGTCTGTTCGAAAAGCAGACCAGTCTGAAACTGGGGTCTGCTTAACAGTGTGGAAAGCTGAGGGGTTGGCCCCGGCGTTTAAGTACAGACATAAATAGTGTGGAGGGCGGCAACTAAAGGAAAATCCAGGGTTGGGTCCCCCTAAGGGAGGGCCAGAGTAAAACTGCTATTTTATGTGGTGGCATGCACTTTGCAGAGGGTCCAACTACTTTTGGGAGGACTCCTACCATCTAGTTGGTGAACGCATCAGCTGCTCACTGCCCCGCCAGGAGGAGACGACCCCTTCCCACCCCAAGCGCCCGCGCACCTCGGAACCACTCCTCTGACTGCAGCGTGCTCTGCACCGCATGGCCTTCGAGCTGCGCGCGGATCTCCCGCAGCGCCGACGTCACGTCGCACTTGAGGGCATCGCGCGCCTCGACGTGCGCCTGCGCTTGGGCGGCACCGCAGCCCTGGATCTGACCCAGCAGCTCGCCCACCTCCTCCTGGTGGTGGCGCCGCAGGTAGCCGCACTCCTCCTGCAGCGCCTGCGCCTTCTTCTGCAGCTCCACGCGCGCCGCTTCCGCCTCCTGCGCGAAGCGCGCTAGAGCGCGCGCCGCCGCCTCTGCTTCCTCTCGTTGCCGGGCTTCTTCGTCCAGCCGCTGTCGCACGTGCGCGATGTCCTCCAGCAGGTGCTCCTGCTCCAGGCGCAGCTGGCCGCGCGCCGCCCCCAGGCGCAGCACGGCGCCGCGCATCTCGCGCACCTCGCGCTCGTACAGCTCGCCCATGGCGGCGCGGCCGGCTTGCTGCTGCCGCAGCGCCGCCGCCTCGCCCTCCAGGCTGCGGTTGTGCGCCTCGAGCTGCCTCACCTTGTCGATGTAGCCCGCGAAGCGGTCGTTCAGAGCCTGCAGCTGCTCCTTTTCGCTGCGCGCTGCCGCCGCCGCCACCACGCAGCCCTCCGGCCCGTTGCTGAGTGTGTCTAGCGAGTCGGTGCTCGAGGCGGCGCCGGCTCCGCGGAAGCGGCTGGACGAGGCGGACACGGAGCTCACGGACGTCCGCGCCCACGAGTGGAAGCCGCTGGAGGAGCCGGCCGCGGAGCGCGTGCCGCCGGTGCCGGACTTGCGGCCCAGCGCGTAGTGCAGGCTGCCGCCTCCGTGCAGCGGCGCGAACGGGGCGCCCAGCAGCGCATCGGCGCCGCCGAAGCTCATCATGGTCGAAGCAGGTGCGGCCGCCGGCAGAGCAGGAGCGAAGGGCCGGGACGGGGCGGGCAGCACTGCGGCAGCTCCGGGACGCCCGGCTCTTTTATATCCGCGGTGGCCGGGTCCGGCCCCTCGGCAGTGGGGGGCTGGGGAGCAGGGCCCCGCCCTCTCCACCTCCTCCCCCGCGGCCCCGGGCGGACCGGCTCCGCCGCAGTGAGGTGGGCGGGGCTGGGGGGGAGGACCCAGGAGTGAAGGGGAATCGTCGCATCGTCAGTGAAGCCTCCGGAGGTCAGACCAAAGAGTAAAGGACTTCCGGAGCGGACAAGTGCAGACCTCCAGGTGCACGTAGGAAGACCCTCTTGGTGTGCTCAGAATAAGAGAGGGCACTCGAAGTTGGGAGAAGGCTTGAGAACTGATGGGGCTGGGTAGCTGCGACTCTGCAGAGCTGCGACTCTGCAATGATTAGTACGCAGGATCCCTTATGAGAGGCGACAGAAGGTTCCCTAACAGTTAGAGAGGACCTTGAGATGAAGACCGCAACCACCCACGAAGGGATTCTGAATGGTATTGCACGATGGACGCTATCCAAGATAGATGGAGACCCCTTAGCTGGGTCAATGTTTCCCTGATGCTAGTTAGAGCGGCCACTCTGGAGGGGCTTATGGAACTCTACAGCTGACATCGGGGTAGGAAAGGGGGACGAGGAGTTTGAAAGGAGTGCAGAGCTACCCTGAGGGAACAAGGGAAACTGCAGAAGGAGAAAGGAAATGCAGGATGGGAGGGGAACTTGGCGCTCTCCAAAAACTCTAATGGCTAAGACGAAGTGGAGACTGCATCTTGCCAGCAAGTGAAACTGTGGGCGAAGAAGCAGGGGTCCTTGAGTAGGCAGCAAGATGCTGCTCTAAGTGTGGAATCAGAGAACACCCAAGCCAGGTTCTGCAAACAGGGCGGGGGAGGGGGTCAGCGCTGTGCTTTGCTAGCCGAATGACCTTGTGCAAATTGTGTTCTCTCCTACTTGGTTTTCGCTTGTGTGCAACAGAGACAAGATGCAATTCCAAACCTCCAAGTAGCCCCAGGAGCTTCCAGCTTGGAGGATCTCTGGATTAATTTTGGGAAGGGAGCCCACATTGCCAGTGGTTACCTAGCACCCACGTTCCCACACCTGAGAAGTTTGTCTTTCTCCCTTCCTTGCCTGATTTTTCTGTTTCATCTTGTCATCTCACTCCTATCTCCGCAATAGCCAGTACCATAGACATCCCTTCATGATCCCGAGGAAGGGGGGGGGCGAGTTTGTCAGTGTCAAAGTCCAACGCCCTCATGAGCCCCACAGAGCATTCAGGCTCAGACTACGACTCCTTCTTGGATTGGTTTTCCCGTCAAAGGGCGTGTTAGTGGAGGCTTCCCTGCCGCCATCACTTCAGCACCAGGGACAGAGACCAGTGGGAAGGGCTGATCTAAGTCTCACAGAGTAGGGAGGTTAGAAGCTCCCAAGCTTCAACCCCGTGCTGTGCGGTTGGGAACTGAGGGGGAGTAGATGAGTCACACACCCTTGCACGTAAGTGACCCACCCCTGCATGTCCTGTCCAGTTCCTGTCTTTCTGTGTGAAGCTCTCCCTGCAAACCGTCTCTACCGGAAGCAGAGAGAAGCCCACTCCAATGCCCACTGACCAGCGCTATACTTCTCCCAGGAATTACCTCAAGTACCACTACACCCCAGTTTACTGTGGTTTTCTTTCTAGAGGGATGGATCCTCAAGACAGACAAACTGCAGACTGACTAAAAAAGACCCCTGCCTGCCCCTCTCCTTGCCCTGTGTTTTATCCCCAGCCCCTGGCCGCAGTCTAACCCTTTTAGCTAGGGAAGTGATGGCACTGTCCCTTTAACCACGTTTTACTGGAAGGAGAGTGCACTAGGGAGGAGGGGGGAGGGAGTTTCTAGTTTTTCAAGGCGAAGCAGAACATGATGAAGCATTTTCCCAATTTAAAGGTCCAGTCACCCTGCTGTTTGCAGGGGCATGAATGCTAGTTGCAAATGTTGAGAGGGTGAGGCAAGTGGCTTTTCTGAGACACTGAAAAATGTCATGGGCAGGGGGTCTGGGTAGGGATGCCCCTTGCATCCAGGCTGCTCCCCTTTTGTCTCTCATCCTGCTTGGAATTTCACCACTAGATCCTTGTCCCTTTGAGTCTCTTCAGCTGTCTGCAGAATGCACATGCTTTTTCTTAGGCGTGGGAAATCTGATAAGCAGTTGATAGCAAAAAGGAATGAGGGGGATGTGGGTGAAGGGGGACCATCAGATTGTAACATGTGAATTCTAAGAGGATGGCTTTTGTGGCTATGAAATGGACATGAATGCTGAACCCTTGGTCAGCCCTTCAGACTCACCTTCAGAAAGCTGTCTGTGGCCTCCATCACTCTGTGCTAAGGTCAATTTCCCCTCCTGGGTTCTGTGGTTCCCAGTGCTAATCCCTAGCAGTATTGTTACCAATTTATCATGTGTACTGAGGTTCTGTGGTCCCCATGCAATAATCTCTGCAATATCCTCACCAATCTGTCCTTGTGAGTGGATGGATAGATGGATGGGTGAATGAATGAATTCTATCAGTTTTCTAGTAAAACGTGTGATTCAGTGAGAACCAAGAATGATTCCTGTCTAAGACCTTGTGGTTTCAGATTACTTTTGCTTACTTTCCTGAATTCTTAACATTTATCAGTGAATAAGACAATGTCTAGCCATACATCCCTTAATTGCTTACTAAGCCTCTGTTATGTGTGATAGGCACACATTAGATGATGGTATCACTGAATCCCATAAGTCCACGTTCCCATGTGTCTCCTTGGGACAATTCTTAATCCTCCTTAGATCTCAATCCAGAATGTCCCAGGGTAGCTTTAAGGAGATTTCCAGGTATGACTTGAACCCTGAATATTCTATGTTAGAAGTTCAGTTCCCAGGAAGTTGCCATTGGAAGATGGTGAAAATTTTAATCAATTACATCCTACTCAGGTCTTTAGAAACCATGTGCATGCCCCTGAAGGAGGCTTGTCCCAGGTTCTCCTTCCTCTGCTCTTCCTCCCATCTTCCCCCTCCCTCCATCCTTCCTCTCCTCTTCCTCTTCCCCTTCCTCTCTCCCTTCCTCCCTTCCTCTCCTTTCTTTCCCCTTCCTCTCTCCCTTCCTCCCTTCCTCTCCTCTTCTTCCTCTTCCCCTTCCTGTCTCTCCCTTCCTCCCTTCCTCTCCTCTTCTTCCTCTTCCCCTTCCTCTCTCCCCTCCTCCCTTCCTCCCTTCCTCTCCTCTTCTTCCTCTTCCCCTTCCTCTCTCCCCTCCTCCCTTCCTCTTCTCCTCTTCCCCTTCCTCTCTCCCCTCCTCCCTTCCTCTTCTCCTCTTCCCTTTCCTCTCTCTCCCTTCCTCCCTTCCTCTCCTCTTCTGCTTCCTCCCCTCCCTTTCTGTGTTAGTGAGAGTTTTACTACTGTGATGAAATACCATGACCAAAAAGCAACTTGGGTTTATTTCAGCTGACACTTCCACATTGTAATCCATCACTGGAGAAAGTCAGACAGGATGGCAGAGGCAGGAGCTGGTGCAGAAGCCATGGAGGCCAGATCCTTACAGGCTTGTGCCTCATGGCTTGCTGAGCCTGCTTTCTTATGGAACCCGGGACTGCCAGCTCAGGGGTGGCACCACCCTCAATGGGCTGGGCCCTCCCCCATCAATCACTAAGAAAATGCCTTAGAGCCAGATCTTATGGAGGCATTTTCTCAATTGAGGTTCTCTCCTTTCAGACAACTCTAGCTTGTGTCAAGTTGACATAAAACCATTCAGGGCACTCTCCTTTTTTCGTTTTAGACAGGGTCTTGTCACATAGCCTAGGCTAGCTTTAAAGTCTGTCCTCCTGTCTCAGACTTCTGAATGTTGGTATTACAGGCATTTTTATTGGTTTATTGAGGCAGGGTATCACTATGTGGCCCAGACTGGCCTTGAACTTTCAGTACCCCTATCTCAGCCTCCTGAGTGCTGGTATTACAGTCATTTTTGTTAGTATTTGATAGGGTTTTAACTTTTCAACCCAGACTGTCTTTAAACTCTTGACCTGCCTGCTTAAGAGACTATAGGCGTGCACCACCATGACTGGCATTTCCTTTTCTACCTGGCGGAGCCCAAGGTGGGGGACTCGGAGGTGCCTCACCCTCTGCTGTCCCAGACCTGCTGCCTGAGTCCCATGGAAAGGTGATGCTACTGTGAGTGCCCACCCGGTACCGTTGTCTCCGTTTCTCTCATTCAGTATTGCTGGTGAGCTCGATAACTCCGAAGAAAGCGGCTCCAGGGGAGGGGGCCCCTCCTCCCCGGTGTGTACAGCAGAGAATTTTCACACCACAGGGTTCTTGCTGCCACCTCAGTGGCACTCCTCTGCTGTGCAGGGACCCTTCTTCCAGTTTTACAGACAGGTAAACTGAGGTCTGAGTGGCGGGGGGCTTATCTGAGTTAACTCAGTAACAGAACCCAGGGTCTCAAATCACCCGTGCCGGAGCCAGTAGTGCACATACCCACTTCTCCTCCACGGAGGAGGCCCAGAAGTCTCACGGGGAAGCAGTGAGAGGTCCTAGGATGACAGCTTTCAGGAGCTGAGCCCGGGAAGGGGTAGGGCCCATGCTGTGAGTCCTGTGACCCAGCACCAGTGTGCCCTGGCTTACGTTTTGTTTTTAGTGTCATGCCTGTCAAGCACACCTTCTTGTTTAAAAAAAAAAAAAGTATTACATTTTGTATTAGCTGCTTCTCTGTTGCTATGAAAAAATGACCAAGGCAAGTTATGGAAGGAAGGGATGACTTGGTTCAGTCTAGAGGAGCGAGTTTGTCACCGTCAGGGAGTCGTGGCAGTAGGGACAGCTGAGAGCTCCAGTCTCAAGCCACAAGCAGCAGACAGAGGTGAGTGGGAAGGGCTCATGGTTTTTAAAACCCACGGGACACCCTTTCTCACAGCGAAGCCGTCTCCTAAGCCTCCCTAAATGGTGCCACCAACTGGGGACCAAGTATTCAGGTTTCCAAAAATATGGGGGACGTCTCATTTGAAACACCTCACGGTTGCCTACTTCTTTATTTATTTATGTGTGTGAGAGTGTGCAGGTGCCATCCACATGCCACAGCATCTGTATGGA